GACATTGTTTTGGCCGTGTTGCCATAGCGACTTAATTCGGTAGTCCTACGGAGTACAATTAACGCTATAATTGTACTCCTCTCGACCAATCAGAGTCGAGTAATTTTGTTGAGTGTACTATAAAGTATTAAAATACTAAAACAAGGACATTTCACGTCTTACTTTCAGCATAAGACGGCAGTGATGTACAGTGTTCCGTACATTACAACAAGTGTCTATTGACAGCGTAATTAGTGCTATTGTATGCTTGCCGTCGTCGTCGTCGTTGCCGTCCTGCAGCTTAAGGCCCCTAATGACGTGCGCTACGCCTGCTGAACAAGTGGGGTGGTAGTTACAGCCTCACGCTAACAATGTATTGCATGTTTTCAATCATTACCAAGGGAGTGAAATAACAAAAGACATTGGGGACATGTTGGTTGATAAAACAAAATAATTCATCGAAAGGAGCAGGCGTAGCTCAGTTGGTTAGTGCGCGACCTTCAGAGCTTGAGGTCCAGGGTTCGATCCTTAGGATATCCACGTCTGTTTCGACTTTTCTCTAATCCGTGTAGCTTCAGCTTTAAATACTCTTAAAACAGAGCACTGATGGAGAGAGGGGGGTAAAGTGCGCACCGTCGGCTTCCATTGATAGCAGTTGAATTTCAACTGAAGGAACTACCGACGTTAAATATAGGTACTTTACTTTACTTTACTTTTAAGTCTTTTGGTCTTTTTGTTGGTGGCTATGACGTCATATGCAAACGAATAATTTGTTTTTCAGTACAAAACAGACCTAATCAAGGGGTTTGCCGAGGATGTCCTACCATACTTCGGTAATGGGAAGCTGAAGCCGATCATTGATACAGTTTATCCGATGGAAAAGATCAGTGAAGCACACAGTAGAATGGAAAGTAACGTCAATACTGGGAAAATACTAATACAAGTGCAAAAAGATGCTGAACAAGACAAGACGGAACTTTAATATTCATACAATGTTCATACAATCATTGATACAGTTTATAAAATATAACGTGGAAAAGATAAGTCAAGCACATAGTAGAATGGAAAGTAACGTCAACACTGGGAAAATATTAATACAAGTGCACAATGCTGCTGAACAAGACAAGACGGAGCTCTAATATTCATACTTTGTTTAAATGTTGTGATACTGGAGTAGATTGAACAGATTTATATAGACCTCTTGCATGTGGCGTCAAAACAGCTCAATTTGGAGGACAAAACAAAGGAACTTCAATCTCATGTTGGCCTCAATGTAAGGTAATATTCTTGCATTGAGTTCACCAATCAGGTCTTTATTGTTTGCATGAGAAGTGGAAACCTACTGTAATTTCCTCCAAATTGAACTGTATTTCTATGGATTTCAATCATTCCCAAGTGAGTGAAATAACAAGACATGACGGCCAAGTCGGTTAATATTTTTAGTTTTTAGTGCACAAGTAGCGAGTTTTCACCACCCAAATAAACAGCTATAAGACAGCCTAAAATGCATCGGACGACAAAATGAAACACATTTTAGACGATTGTACGTATCAAACTTGATCTTGAAACGGTATTTGAAAAAGCTGAAGAAAAGCAAACTCACAAAATTTGTGGTTCAAAACTCCCTGCTTCGTCAAGCAAATTTGAACGGTCGAAGTCAGCCATTACGCCGCAGGAAGCCCATACCCAATCCACGAACTGAGAGTCTGGGAAGCCTGTGCGAGCACAGGTAGCCCAAGCTTGGTTTCTGTGGTGTCGTGTTATAAGGAAATGTATGGGGATTCATCAAAAGTTGCAATAAAATCATTGAAACGTGAAATAAAGCCTCGTTAAGGATTTTTTCCCTTACTGGTGGGGGATTGAGTCTGTGCCACGCAATACCGTGACGTCTATCTAAATAGCGATCAAAGAATAATAAAAAAATAATTTACTCTAGTTGAAAGATTTTCCCTTAGACACGTTTTAAATATCTATTTAAAGTAAATTTAAGTGAAATAAAGTCACAAATATTAATAATTCCATCATCTTAAGCCTTTGAAGATTCGTCCTTCTTGCGACACCAACTTGGAACACCATGATGGCCGCTCCATACATTTTAACCAAAAATTGAGTCATGCTTACTCGCCTATAGTTCCGCAACGAAATGCTTTACAGCCTCGAAATTTGGCCAGAATATGTAGTTTTGAGCGCTTTACAAGATAATGAAATTTTTATTTCATTATAATGCGAATTTACGCTTTTGAAATTCATGGTGGCGTAGGTGAAAACCAAGAATAGTTACTACTACTAATAATGATAATATAAAGTTCTTGACAAACGCATCATACAACGTCTCGATGCTTTTTACAACAGGACCAGACGAATATCAAGTTTGTGGAAAAAATTGCAAAAAAATTCAGTTACTCCTGGTGAACAGGGAAGTGTTTTAGTGCAGATTTAGACTCTAGCATCAGGGAGATTGTTCCAGAGTGCCGTTGCAGCCAAAGCAAAGGTTCTTTTTCCAAACGTTGATGTCTTTGGTCTTGGAATCACAAGCAGAAATTTAGAGGAGGAACGTAGGGTACGTTTGGGCTGATACAACTTGAGGAGATAGCTGTGTAGCGCTTAAATTAGTACAACATCCGGTACTCTTGCCCCGCGCCCAAATTTTTGGTTTGCAGCCGCGATAGCTTGTTTAATTATTTGGAATCCATAACTCTCATATACCGCTCTTGTGACGTTGGTGAGGTCACTGGGATCCTCGATTCGTATGTATGGTTTGGTCCATTTTTTGGTGTATGGTAAAGCTATAAAGCCGCCAGTACGAACAGATATCACTTTACTCCAATTGAAGGTACTATAGTAACGAAAAAACCCTTTGAATAGGACCTCGACGCTATTGTCATTGGCTGACTCGTAATTAGAAATGAATGGTGGTGTATACTCCTGCTCTAGCCAATCAGCGACACGGCTGGGATCTTGATGATTGAAGAATGATTGGTGTCGTTGATGTAGAGATGGCAGAACAGGAGGACTGCAGCCATGTTGAAGGTAATGGAGGACAAGAAGCACCAATGCAAAACCTGTTGGGTTAAATTAAAAAAAAAACACATATATTTTCTCATTTCAAAGGAATAGCTTTAATTTCGATGATATAGCTAGAGTACGTGTCAAAGTTAGTGTGAAACTACACTTGTTTTAAGGAGCAAGTGTGGCTTGTTTGGTTAGTGTCGCTGCCTGCTAAGCAAGAGGTCCATAGTTTGATCCTCATTGACCTCACACACTTGTTTAAGGAGCAAGTGTAGTGTGGCTTGGTTGGTTAGTGTGCTACCTGCTAAGCAAAAGGTCCATAGTTTGATCCTCAGTGACCTCATACACTTGTTTTAAGGAGCAAGTGTGGCTTGTTTGGTTAGTGTGCTGCCTGCTAAGCAAGAGGTCCATAGTTTGATCCTCAGTGATCTCACACACTTGTTTTAAGGAGCAAGTGTGGCTTGGTTAGTTAGTGGGCTGCCTGTTAAGCAAGAGGTCCATAGTTTGATCCTCAGTGACCTCACACACTTGTTTTAAGGAGCATGTGTGGCTTGTTTGGTTAGTGTGCTGCCTGCTAAGCAAGAGGTCCATAGTTTGATCCTCAGTGATCTCACACACTTGTTTTAAGGAGCAAGTGTGGCTTGGTTAGTTAGTGGGCTGCCTGTTAAGCAAGAGGTCCATAGCTTGATCCTCAGTCAGTAATCTCACACACTTGCTTCATAGGAGCAAGTGTAGCTTAACTGGTTACAATAATGAGATAAACGAGAACAATACCTGATAGCTTATGATATCTAGCATTCATTATGTTAGCATTTTTTGCCCAAGTCTTGATGGTTATGACCAGTGGCGTAACTCTTTCATCCATTTCGCCATAGCAACGCATTAGGAATGTGTTATAGAGTGTATTTTTAGCACCATAGCTGATATCCCCGTGAAGGCCACGTTTAGTATCATTCAGGATGAGAATTGGAACTACTGCTGTGCTAATAAACTGAAAATAAATATAAAAAGAAACTTTGAAACGGGCTTGAAACAACCTTCTTTAATTTCAGGTCAATCGTATGTAACGGATACAATATTTTCCATCCAAAGACAGATGCACCGTACGTTCTAGACTACATCAGAGCATAAATGATCATGATAACAATGCAATGCATTTTTATAATCAAAATAAAAAAAAWTTTTTTTTTAAATTTCCGAGAAAAATACGCTTGAAGAAACACAAATCAAATCTTTAATATCAAAGTGTACTTCTATATCAAGCCAAGATAGAAGAGCCAAAAGATTAATTAGATCCCACTGCCACAGTATTGACGTCTAGATCTTTAGATTTCCAGCTTTAATTTAGGAGTTTTATCTTTATTTGATAGCGATTCAGTATTGTTTATCTTGATTGCGACTTGTAAGCTTAATCACAGCAAAGACTATAATTAGTATGCAAAGACGGAAGAGAAATGGTAAGCTATAACGAAAGTGCCGTTTAGAAATATATATAAATTGATAACAATTTGCCAGCATACCTCAATTTCAAGGTTATTCCTTTCTTCTGATTCCACAATTGCTTTAATCTGGCGAAGAACTGAGTCTCCATTCTCAGAAGCTGAAAATGCTTGTTTGACAAGCGTAAAGTCACAGTCACTTCCCTTGACAGCAAATCCACAACCAGTTGAACCAGCTAATACAAGTCGTAGATGGGGAAAAGTTTGATGAATAGAACGTTCCAAATGTCTTCTCCACTTTTCCTTTTCTCTCTTTTCGTTTTCTGTTTGTCTTTGACTGTTGTAGATGTGCAATATTTCACTACTTCGAAGTGAACTATACATTTTTGAACTTTTTAAGTGCTATATAAGTATGAATAATTGCATTCGGTTTTGTTTCCTAGAAATGATGAGGTCAAGCATGAACTGGCAGTGGTGGCTTTGGAATTGACGTCATCGTTCTTATCAAAATGAATTAATTGATGACAAAAATATTTTCATAAGTTCTCCTTCTTCTTCTTGTCCTTCTTGTTCTTCTTGTTCTTCTTGTTCTTCTTGTTCTCCATCTCCATCTCCATCTTCGTCT